TAATTGGGGTAATCGATAGTTACAACTTTATCCCCATATCATTGTCATCATTCTCTAAAGTGTTTGGTTTAACCAAGTTACAGAAATGATATTTTCCTCATCTGTATAAGATAACATTAAACCAAAAGTATTATGGCCCTATGCCAGACATGAGCTCCTATTCATCTGACATCATTGCAACACCTTAAGAGAGAAATTTCTGGACTAGTACCAACAGCACCGAGAGGAGGGGTACATCTTTGACTTTAAAGATGAAATGTATTTATTTTATCTCATTAAATGCTGTTGATTAGGCATTGACATACTTTGTTGGTGCTGTCTACAGTATAGAGATATGTTTCTTGGCACCTGTGTTATTAACCTTTTCAGGTACACAGTTGTTGATTCTGTATTCACGGAAACATACAGTAGCAATTTTATACCACCAAACTCTACAGCACTTGTACCTAACCATGGATACAATACAACTAACAACTATAGTCAGGTAAGTATACAGTGGTTAGAATACATGCAACAATTTGAAGGTGTTAATATCCAACATGCCCTTAATGGCGAGTTAAAATATTAAATTATAGTGTTGATGGCTTCTGTAAGGAGCATAACACGAATTTTAAGGGTGTTTCTATCACGTGTATAGTATATGTTACGATCCTGACATAATGAATGTTATTCTAAACAGACCCATGTGCTTGGGATATTAGAAAACGTACGTTGGACAGGCAACATAAACTAGAAACTAAGGGGTATAAGGTTATTTCATTCTGGGAACAATAAACAATTTCTATAGTGGTAGAGTCAATGCTACTAGACTTTTGTATGATGCAAAGGAAGATGAAAAAGATCAAGTACGTAGACTTTACATCTCTATATCCATTAACAAATAAGTACTGTGAGTATCCAGTTGTTCATCCCATAATTATCACAACAAATTTTTCAGATTACATAACTATTTCGGTTTCATTAAGTGCAAAATTCTAGCCCTGAGGAAACTCTGCCATCCTGTTTACTCTGAGAAATAATGGTAAATAAACGTTCTCTCTCCCTCTGTAACACGTGTCAATTTAAGAATACCACCACCGCGTAATCACTCATATGACGAGAGAACATTTATCGGCATATTGGTTACCAAGGAGGTGAAAAAAAAACTGACTTCTGAAAACATAGAATGTAATCCAGGCAGTAGGTCAGTTGCAAAACTTTGTTTTAACTCTTTCTGGGGTCATTAGGATATGTCTGAGGACAAATCACAACTGACCTATGTAACATCTGTTAAACAGTATTATTTGTTAATGAATGATAACACCAAAACTGATGTTATATTAGTCAATTACGAAGTTATTGCTCTTCATTGGAGACAAGCATGAGTATCTATGTCAGAAATATCAAATAAATATCTTTCTGGTGGCTTTCACTACTTCTTACGCGCATCTCAATTTGTACTGTGCACTAGAAAGATTAGGATCACTTGTCTTGTACTATGACACATATATTATTGTTTACATTTCAGACTGAACTGATGATATCCCTCTAGATGATTATTTCGGAGAATTTACAAACAAGCTTGATGGACATTACATCACATCATGGGTCAGTAGTGGACCTAAGAATTACAGATAATTACGGGAAGATGGTTAGTCCTTTTGTAAGATCAAAGGATTTACATTTAATTTTATCACCAGTCAGAAGTTAAGCCCTTCTCGAATAAAGAGTAAAATATTATATATTTTTAATCCTTCTCAACATGCAGTTACAATAACGGATGGCAGGAAAGTATGCTGGGATAGGAAAACACTAACTATACTTAAGAAACCTGAAAGCAAAAAAATACCACCCTGTCTGCAACAAAAGACATATGCTAAGAGACTTTAATATGGCTATTAAATTTATTTATTTTATTATGTGAGAGGCTGGTCCTTTGTATATGAAACAAATCATATTATACATATTATCATTGTTCTTTAAAATTAATCACCGTCTACAACATCCTTTCCCTTCCAATTTGTTAGCAATGTGTTATCAAATTATCGTGATATTATTTACCCTACTCCAGAAAACGTTGAATGGTTCTATAGTGAATTATAACAGTTGTATGCTAACTTAATGCAAACCATTCTTAACATCCACTTTGTCAAAGGTTTACCTGAAATATTTCGTGATTATGTTCAACCCAAAAAGCCAGAATTTGTTCCAAGCATTAACTAAGGCTACACGAAAACATATTAGAAATATGATTGCCAGAGCTAACAATGATTTTACAACTTGTATTTGTGAATGTTCTTCAAATGTTTTAAAGGGTAATCTTCCCATGATGAACATACAAAAGCAGAAACTTAGATGAGACAAGTAATTACTGAGAGCATTAGCTGATAAGAGAACATTTGTTGAAGCGTTATCTGTCGCCATTCTCGGTGCAAGTGAGCTTCTAACTGTT